CGGGGAACAGTGATCTGTGGCCAACAGGAGCTGCAATTGCTCATACCTACAGAGGTATAGGTAAATATAGTAGTGCCAGCCCACCAGAAGCTAACCCCAGGTAAACTGCTACCATTTTATTGTCCACCCGTTTTATACAGAGCTAGCTCAAATTGTTTTCCCTCTTTATCCGTGAAAGAGAGAGATGCACAGTTGTTGTTCCCCCTGCAACAATTATTTATGCTGGGTTTATTTGTAAACAAAAATGATTTTATTAAGTTTTGCAAGTAGGATTTAAGTGGTTGCAAGTGAGAGCAGACAGATCAAAGTTAATTACTAAGAAACATTTTACATGCAATTTCTTACTCTGACAGTACAGGCAGTCCCCGGGTTATGTACAAGATAGGGACTGTAAGTTTGTTCTTAAGTTGAATCTGTATGTAAGTCGGAACTGGCATCCAGATCCAGCCGCTGCTGAAACTGACCAGCAGCGTCAGTTTCACCAGCAGGCTGAATCCAGACGCCTGGGGCAGAGCAGCTGGGGTGCTGCCGGGTTGGTCCATTTTAGCCATAGGGCTTTCTTGAGCAAGAAATCCCTGCCGCACGTCCACACTGCTCTCTTGCGCAAGACAGCTTACACTTGTTAGAAAAAAGCATAGCTCTTGTGCAAGAAGCCCTCTCTTATCACACTTTACTGTAAATCTTCTTACACAAGAGCGGGCGGGTAGTGTGGATGCTCTATAAAAGGACAGCCATTCTTGCGCAAGAACCCGCCAGTGTAGACATAGCCATTGTGTTTTCTCATTTTACTTTGTCACTGTAGATGAATGAGGTTATTTTTCAATTTTTGAAAGAAGTTGTTATAAAAGAAGAAACATCAACCAGAAGATTGGTCCAAAAGTGCTGTTTCTACTTTGCTCGCCTGGCTAAGAGCAATGCCTACTACGGATTTGTGCATACTCCTCACCCCCGGAACACCCAGGTGAGCCATGTCCCCTTCCTTGGACAGGGCAATACTTACGGGTTTCATAATCCAGGTGATGCCAGGATTCTTGCGAAATTCTTCCACAAAGAGGTGGTACTCTGAGGGCATCTCAAAGGTCTTGGGGAAAAAGTCACATTTTGTTGCCTCCAGCTTTCCCAACTCTCTCTCTATCTGCTTCCGAAACCTCTTCAGGTTCTTCACTATGTAGTTCTTCCGAGTCAGCTAAGTGGAAAGAGAAATACAAGAGCAGACTCTGCAAATGTTAAAACAAATTAATTGTCACTCTTCTTTCACTCAAATTGCCCAGAAGATAAAATGTTTCTGGTGACATCTGGTAATGGATCTTGGCAGTGATGCCACGGGTTAACTGAGAAAAACAATGGACAAAGTTGGAGATTCTTTCCTTCTTTATAGTGGAGTCTTCACAGTGGCAAGTGCCTGGGTTTTGTTTTTGGTTTGTTTTTCTTTTCTCTCTGGAGGAGCAAGAGGAAGCTGTAGCAATCCACAGCGCATTTTCCTGGTGTAAAACTCTCAGGGTATGTCTACAATGCAAGGCTATTTTGGGTATCCCACGTCTTTTGAACACTTCCACTATTGCAAAATATAGCGGACCTGCTATTTCAACATCCCTGTAAACCTTGTTCCATGAGAAATAAGGGATGTGTTATTTTGAAATTTTGAAAAGTAGATGCACCAAATTTCAAAATAGACTATTTTGAAACAGAATCAAAATAAAATATGCTATGCAAATTGCATATCTTATTTCGAGCTAAGGGTGCAGTGTAGATGCACCCTTAGATACAGCTGCTATGCTGATTTCCAGGGTGACCACCAAATGTTTGGGCTTGTCTATACTGGAAATACAACCATTTCACAGATGACCTGGTTGCAACGCAATTGTCTTCAGATATATTTAAACAGAGTTCTATTTTGTAGTGCACATGGGACCGTATTGGGTTTCTGCTTCTGCTAAAGCCTTGGACATGCTGCATTCTAGAACTACACTATGGGTATGTCTAGACTACATCCTCTGTCACCGGCAGGGATTTAAATGAAGCAGGGATTTAAATCTCTCCCGCTTCATTTGAATAAAAATGGCCACCACATTTTGCTGAGTCAGCAGTTTCTCAGCAAAAAGCGGCTGTCAAGACGGGAATAGGGCAACAAAGAAAGCCTTTGTCGCCCGATCCTGTAAATCTCATTTTACGAGGCATAAGGGATTGGCCGACAAAGGCTTTCTTTGTTGCCCTATTCCCGTCTTGACAGCCGCTTTTTGCTGAGAAACTGCTGACTCAGCAAAATGTGGTGGCCATTTTTATTCAAATGAAGCGGGAGAGATTTAAATCCCTGCTTCGTTTGCAATGTTGATATGTCTAATTTGCATGTAGTCTAGACGTACCCTATAACTGTACCAAGGAAAACTGCTACAACACAGTGTATAGTTGGTCCTGGATTTCTGAGACAGTCCAGCTCAGTTTTCATGAGATTTAGCAGACATGGAATACAGTTAAGTCTAGGGCAGTGTTCCTGGCAAAGTCATTCTTCTGTTTCCTGGAGTGGCAGAGGTTGATAGATTCTGAAGAGGGGTTACCCAGCAGTCAGGAGGGGATTAGGTCTCCTGGGAGGGAATATTACAAGGCACTTTAATCAATAAGCTTTCCCCATGGAAGTTTACGAACAGTTTAAAACTATTTCCCCAAATCATCCTGACCCATATGTTTCACCCCGCCCCATAGTGGTTTCTTACTTCATAGTGGTTCCGAAAGTGGGAGATGCGAACATGTTCATCCATGTAGGTATGGTCAAAATTTTCCCGAAGCCAGCTGACATCACACCAGTAAAAATCCCACTCACCATCCCTATAGGGAGAGACAATCAATAAGGCAAGCATTGAGTTGTAGGTCATCACCACACCCAACCTTTTTGACAGCCACCAGCTATCATCATCACCACTGCTTCCTTCTCTCCTTGCAGTTTTTATAGTCTAATACAAAGCCATGGTACGCATGATTAAATTATTTTTTTAAATGTTTGTTCTTTAAAATTTTAGGCTCTTAATGATCCCCATTGTAACCAAGTCTGTTTTAGTCTGAATTTACCAATGTATTAGGGAAGAAGTAAGACGATAGTCTAAAACATGAACCGCTGGCCTGGTATGAGGCCTGAGACCTAGGCACCAATGGTCCAAACTGCTAATAGAAAGCAAAGTTAAACTGTGAGCAAAAGACAGGATCTGCTCACAGAACTTGGCACGAACAGGGCTGATATTGCAGAAACACTTAGACTTAATTGGTACTAGACACAGGGCATAAACACATTCCAGAGGGATGGTAACAGAAAACCTTGCTAGGAAACATCTTGGTACCAAACACATTCCCCACAGATAACAGGGACATACCGACCCAGATTCAGGGCAGGGTCTAAAATGACAGCATGACAGATAGAAATGTTTTGATCGAACCACCATATGCGAAGTAAGCAGTGGTATCTAGTAATGTCAGAGGAGTGGCAACATGACACTTTGGGAGTGATGTGTAATTTGTTTGCACCGATGTATAAAAATGTACCCTAAAGGGGTTGTCCTTGTCCAGCCTAGGTGACAGTCGGAAATCCCTCTGCTTGATCTGAGTCCACTGTAACAAGCAGACATGTGTTAGCCTGATTGTAGACACCCGATCCAGGGAAGCTAGGACAGTGTGTCATTTATAATAAACCTGGCCGGGCGCCTTCATGCCTCATCTGATTCTGTATTCTGGGGGCCCTCTCAAAGTCTGCGATGCTGGCTACCTGCGCAGAGCAAGTGCGACATAGAGGAGAGTACATCCATGCAGCCAAATGATTATCTTCAATAGACAAAGCAAGTTAGTAGTCAGGGCACCTCATGGTTGACTGCTGACCACACGCACAGAACAGTTACCGTGTTGATTCTTGCCTACCAGTTTAACTGAAATCATCCAGTTAGAAAATCAGAAGCTGGATTTAGAATGGTATCCTCTACCGCCAGGTTAACTCCACTGAAGTCAGTTCCCTCCAATTCGCTGTGTGACAGTCTTCCTCCTGAGTCAATACTTCATTGTTTAATTGTATTTATAAGATCCCAGTGAACAGATGATAGACCAATAGCAGCTGAACTCAAACTGAAAAAGTATACCCAGCAGTTCAGTTTTCAAACACAACAAATCAGTGAAGGAAAGAAAAAGCTAGGGTCAGGATAAATGGTTGCAATCCTAAATCAGAGTAAGAATGAGAGACTGGCGAAGAAGAGAGACTGTGTCTGCACTGTAATTTTCAGCCACATTTAACAACAGTAGTCAAACATGGTTTCTCCTTCCCCGACTGACGCAGCGTTGAGCTCAATTGTTCTGATGACGTGTACAGTGTCGTTCAGCTTCAACAAACCAGTCACTCAGCTTTCACTCTAAAAAGGGTTGACCGTGCCTTTTTGAAAGGACTGACCATGCCTTGTCCATTGTATGACCTGGTCCACAGCCACAATATAACAAAGTTCAGCATGAAGTGACAAGGAGGAATGTTTTCAATGTTTGCCAACATTGAAAATTAGAGTGCAGACAAGCTGAACTGATGAAAGAATGGGGGAAACTAACCCATTTGCAAAGGGAAAGGATCTGGAGCTTACTCTTTTACTTCAACCCATCCTGGTCTCTGGCGCAGGATATCTAAGATGGTATTTGTGAGCGCACATTTGAAGCGGATACAAGCTCTTGGTTCTCTGTGGGGAAGAAAAAAGATACTGTACACTCTGTGAAGTCTGCCTGAGATGCACATCTGGATTCTGTACTTTGCTCAGCCACAGGCTCTTGGTGTGACTTTAGGAAACTCATTTAATCTCTTGTGCTGCAGGCTCCCTATCTGCACAATAATGTTAATAATACTTCCTTATCTCACAGCAGTGGCATGAAGATAAATTCATTAACATAGGCAAAGTTTTTAAATACTATGGTGATGAGCATCAGGGAGAAGACTATAAAAAATTTGTAAATAGGGCTGTCAAGTGATTAAAAAATGCAATTGCGATTAATCACGCAATTAATTGCATGCCCCTCCCCTTGGAAACGCCGCAGCAGCGTTTCAATGGAGCAGCGCTGCATGAAGCCCAGTATCAGCTGGAGTCCCCAGCTTCAAAGGGGCTTTGCAACGGCGGAGCTGGGGATCAGCTGGGGACTCCAGCTAATCCCTGGTTCCGCTTGCGCTGCCTCTTTGAAGTGCCAGAGCGGCACCTCAAAGGGGCAGTACAGCATTAATACCTGCGATTAACACATTAAAACAATTAACGCATTAATCCTGCCCTGTGTTAATCGCCGGCATTAATGCAGGTCAATTGACAGCCCTAATTTTAAAATTAACTATGCTGAGACAACCCAAATCATTTTCATGTACGCCTTTACCAGCATGAAGTCCTGAAGTGCAGAACATCTCACTCCCCTTTATACTTCAGTAATTCGGACTGTCAAGTTACCCTCTAATCTAGGGGTTCTCAATCCTTTTCCTTCTGAAGCCCCCCAACATGTGATCAAAATTCTAGGGTTTAGTGGACTCCAGATAGGCTTGGGGTTCCGAGCTTCACCTGCTGGGGGGAGTGGGGAGTTGCCAGGCTGAGGCAGGAGGCTTGGGCTTCTGCCCCATGAGATGCTGGACTTTAGTCCTACATAGTTTGGGGGCTGAGAGCTATTGTCCTGAGGGGCTCCTGGCCCTAGCCCTGCCCTGCAGGATGGGAAGAGGGGGTCTTGATGCTTTAGCCCCATAGAGGGCCAGGACTAGGGGCTCCTAGCTTTAGCCTCATAGGGCTCCTGGGCTTCTGCCCTGCAGGACTCCCAAGGTTTGTGGCTCTGGGCTCCCTGGCTTTAGCCCCATGAAATGCTGGGGCTCACGGTTTCTGCCCTGCAGGGTTTCCTGCCTTGAAGGGCACTGGGGCTTGTGGTCCCCTGAAATGACTTGCAGACCCCTGGTTAAATTACATTTCAGTCATACTACCTTGTATTATGATCCTATCCAACCCTACAGATTAAATAAAAGGTTGGTCAGTGCATGAAATACTGGATGTGAGTTTCCAAGGAACACGGCGGTGCTGCAAAAAATGGTTCTAACTCTTTCCTTTACGTCTGTAAATAATAAATGCCCTGAATTGTGTAATGAAGTGCTATGGTGCTGGAGATACTATTTTTCAGATCAGATATAAAATCTGGTACTGACCACGTGTGGTCATTAAAAACACCATGAAACTCAGGGGGGCTAATTTCAGTGCCATGGTCAAGTTCCATCTCAAGTAATTATTTTACCTACCTGCTGATTCAACTGATAATAATTTAGCATAAGCAAAACAGTATGCGCTGTTACTAAGCACTGCTAACTATTTGCTGCACTTCACCCCATATGTGGCTGCATTTTTGTGGTGCATGAAATGATTCCCATCAGTGTATTACATTTGAGATTTGCTGGGATGAAAAAACAGTATATAGTTGGCAAGATATGACTGTTGCTGGGCGGAGAAACATATTTCATTTCATGGGGAATTTTGAAATTTAGTTTCATTCCAATTTGGAACAAAAGCCCCAATTTTTGAAATTCTGGATCCCTGGCTCTGGGTCAGTCTGCTTGGAACTTGCAGAACCCTAGAGCCCTGAAGTCCCAGACTCAGAGGTAATCCTCCTAGACAGCTACCCCAGAGTTATGAACTCTGGAAACCATCCTCCCTCGCAGCCTGCCAAAGGGGTGGGCAGGCAAGCTGGCAAGAAACCAGGAAACATTTTGGGACTTGCCTAGTTGCTGGAGAAACTTTATAAAAAAAAAAAATCACACTGACTTCACAAAACACTTAGGCTACGTTTACATTGGCACCCCTTTCCGGAAAAGGGATGCTAATGAGACGAGTCGGAATTGCAAATCCGCGGGGGATTTAAATATCCCCCGCGGCATTTGCATTTACATGGCTGCCGCTTTTTTCCGGCTTGGGATAAGCCAGAGAAAAGCGCCAGTCTAGATGCGATTCTCCGGCTTATCTGAAGCCGGAAAAAAGCGGCAGCCATGTAAATGCAAATGGTGCGGGGGATATTTAAATCCCCCGCAGATTGCAATTCTGACTCGTCTCATTAGCATCCCTTTTCCGGAAAGGGGTGCCAATGTAGACGTAGCCTTAGGGTGTGTCTAGACTACAGAGTTTTTTCGAAAAAAAAAATGGCCTTTTTCTGAAAAAAACTTCCCCTGCGTCTAGACTGCTGCCAAAGTAAATCAAAAGAATGCAGCAGTTTCTTCTGACCACAGAAAACCTCATTTTACGCGGAAGAATGTCTTTTTTCGAAACTGATCTTTCGTAGTATTAAGATATTGTTGGCGGCTATACTTGATTGCTGAATAATGCTGAAGATTTTTGTAAAGCTCTAAGAACATGTGAATACCAAGTTGTTCCACATTGTTTTTCCATTCAAGACTATCTAGAGGAGGAACATGCTATAAACAGAGGAAAGTGAGAATTCTTTATCTCATCACATTCAGCTAATTGATTTTTCTAAGGTCATTCTGAATTCTAGATCTTCCCTGATACAAAGGAATGCTATATACCAGGGGTGTCCAAACTTTTTTCAAAGAGGGCCAGATTTGATGAAGTGAATATGCGTGAGGGCCGACCATTTTGCCTGACATTCTTTGAACCATTAAAATTAAATGCAAATTAACTATTTTATGCAAAGTTTATTGCAAACGGCATACTTTTCATTTCGTCACATGGATGACAAATCTAAACAGGTGTTAAATCACTCTGCCTTTCATATCTGAAGGCCAGATGAAAAAAAAATCCAGGAAGCTGAAATATATGTCAGGAACATTGTAAAGTACATTACATATTATTGGTAATAAAGGTTGTCTGTCAACTTTTAAGTTCAAAAAATATGAACAGGAACATAACACCAAGTATACATGTTGTGTCCAAATATATTTATAACTGATTTAGACCAACGGACATGAACTGAGATTTTACAATGTGTTCATCTCAATACATATGGATTCGTTGGGGGCCATAAAAGATAGATATTGCCAAATTACCTGTGGGGCCGTATTAAACCGGAACACGGGCCGCAATTGGCCCGCGGGCCGGACTTTGGACATGCCTGGTCTAGACGTAGCCTTCCATTCCAACAAAAAATGTGGAGTCAGAACTTTTCGAAACCACTGTTCTCATTTTCACAAAGGCCTAAGGAATCTGCAAGCCTGAGGTGCTGCGGCTGAAGCGACACTACCAAGGTCTGTTTGAAACCCATCACCACCATCCAAGGCAGCCCAAACCCTGTTTAGCAGAAGAGTTGTGAAGGGAGCAGCCAGCACTTGTGTGATGAGAAGCAAAGGTGGAGTCAGGTGCAGTAGGGATGTGCGGGACTAGCCCTCCCCACCCTTGCTGTCCCTATGGGGGAGAGGCAGCAGGGGGGGGAAGAGGCAGGCAGCGCTGT